GCTTTAGGGATACTTTCTTAGCGGTTGGCTTCTTTGTGGAGGACTTCGGAGAAACCTTCTTTGCTGTGGATCTTGAGGTGGCGTTTTTTCTTCGCGTTTGTCTGTTCTTCTCTCTTATCGAGGTATTTTATAATTACTTTGGACAACTAAATGCGCGTTTTTTCTGCGTGTGTGTGAAAATACCCATATAAGTATCTTTATTTATTTTATACTGAAATAAATAAGTGGTCAAATGTAGCAAAAATAAATAATTTTGAATCAACAGTTCTCGACTCTCCTTTTCTGTTTTCTTTTCTTTTCTTAGCTGGTGCAGTTCCTGACAGAAAATAAGACATTCAAAACCTTTCTGAAATTAAGCATTATAGCTGATCAGCTTGAAAACAGGAAAAGTTTATTCATAGTCGTAATTTATCTGGAAACTTTAACAACTGGCTAATATACAAGCTTTGTTAAACTCTCTAACCCCCCCCCCCTCTCTCTCTCAGTGGTAGTAGCAGCTATCTCGTCTAGCAATCTTGCTGACCCGCATTCAAATCCCGTACACCAGTAGATGGTAACTCCGGCCGTTCCTTGCACACACGGGATAGTTTAAGGGCAAATACAAACAGACATCCTGTTACACCAAGAATAACCACCTTAACAAATGGAATAAGACCAAATTATTATTATTATTGTTATCATATTGTCATTAGCTATTATTTTTTAAACAACACCTGTGTCAAAAGGAATCTTTTTCGATAATTTTCCTATTCCAACTCGTCTAGTTTGTGTGTTCTCACTATAAATGGGCTTGGGATTAATTTCATTCCTTACTGTGCCTGTTTTCCTTTTCAGGAGAATATAAATTCAAGATTTTTGTATTCAATATTTTTTCCATTAACTGTAAAAAGGATGTCATTTAACTGCAACAGTCATTTACATAAAGAATTGTGTACGACAGTAACTAAAATATATAAATCAGCTGTCAGTTATATAACTTTTTTTATTATAAAACAGAAAAAGGTTAACTATTCCCATTCTTTGTTGCTGTTTTCTTAGCAGGCTTTTTGTTTGCCGTCGTCTTCTTTGCCGCTGGTTTCTTTGTTGCTCCGTTCTTTATGCTGGATTTCTTTGTTGCATTCTTAGTGGGGACTTTCTTTGTTTTAGACTTAGAGGTAGGTTTCTTTGCTGCTCCGTTCTTCGGTGTGCTCTTTGCGCTGGGTTTCTTTGTTGTAGTCTTAGAAGTGGGTTTCTTCGTTGCAGTCTTAGAAGTGGATTTCTTCGTTGCAGTCTTAGAAGTGGGTTTCTTCGTTGCAGTCTTAGAAGTGGGTTTCTTTGCGGCAGTCTTAGAAGTGGGATTCTTTGTTGCAGTCTTAGAAGTAGGTTTCTTCGCTGCAGTTTTAGAAGTGGGTTTCTTCGTTGTAGACTTAGCGCTGGGTTTCTTTGCCACCGCCTTTCCCGGAGTATTCTCGTCTTTCCTGGGCGCAGCCTTTTTCAGCTCCTCCTTGGAAAGTCTGAAGGAGCCGGAGGCGCCGGTGCCCTTGGTTTGCTGCAGGGACCCGCTGGCGACGCCTCTCCTCAGCGCCTGCTTCAGGTGCACGCCGGCGGCCCTCTCGTCTCCGACCTGGAAGGAAGCGAGGATGAACTTGAGGATGGCTTGGCGGGAGGACCCGTTGCGCTCCTTGAGGGCCCTGAGGGCGGCGGCGACCATCTCGCTGTACTTGGGATGGGCGCGCTTGGCCGAAGGACCTTTGGTCGACGTGCTCGACATGGCGACAGGACGAGGGCGAGAAGGTGCTGACAGGCTTTCCAATGCAGTCGCGGCGACGCAGGAGAGGCAAGTGGCGCCCTGGCTGTGAGGCGGACCTTAATGAGGGCGCCGAGGGACGGGGATTCCCCGGTTCTCTTGAATGCGAGGACGCTCTTCGTCAGAACACTTCTAGGGAAAGGAAACCGTTGGATGTGCACTTAGTTCGTTACCGAATGATTTTATATAATGAAAGAATGGAATCGAGTTATTTTATTACTTCTCTTGCAAATGCACACGCGCGTGTATATGAAAATAGTCGTGTTACTTCTACACTGAAAAATAGATAAATAAATGTATGGTAAAAAAAAAATAAAAAATCGGATCGCCGGTTTTCGAATTTCCTTTTCTACTACTTCCTAAGTTTTTTTGTTTTTTGTTGGTAGGTGTACAATCTGATTTTGTTGCAGTATTGTGTTTATTTTGGCCAGAAAGTGAAAGAAATCTAAACCCTTTCTGGAAATAATATGAAACATGTCCAGCCTGAAAATATAGTTTAATCATGGTAAGATTTGATCTAATTCTAACAACTGACAAACATACAGGCTCTGTAAAGAAAAAATCTCTCTAATTATCAATCTTCCTTACTCTCTCTCTATTTCTTTCATTTATCTATTTATTTCGCTCTATATATCTCCCACTGTCTGTCTGTCTCTCCACTTGTCTTTCCACATCCCCAACATACAATCCAAGAGACTGCAATTATTGCTTTTAGACATCGATTCACTGTTTTCGTGCCTATTTGGCGCTTGTATAAAACGCCATTTGTTTCACAGGAAAGACGTTCTAGGGTTTTAATATATTATATTTTGCGTTTCCCTTCTTTTCTTTCTTCTTATTTTCAAAATTGTTTTTTATATTTTAAGGGAAATAACATTTGGTCGTCTATATAATAACATACATTACAACATCGACAAGAGAATATTTCTATTCCTTTGTTTTTTCGACCTAGTTTAGATGCAATTCATCAATATTCATTGATAATACTACCCAGTAATCCTTAAGCTATGTTTAAGTTCATATTAAAAGTAAAAAAAAACGCAATCAAGGACGTACGTTTAATCTTATACACAGACATTTACATAAACAATCTTATACAAAAGTAGCTAATATAAATCAATAGTTGTCAGTAATATCACTTTTAAAAATTGTAGATCGTTAGCTCCTCCCATTCTTTGTGGTTTGTACCTTTTTTTGCTGTTTTCTTGACACTGTTTCTTTGTTGTTAGTTTCTTTGTTGCTTCGTTCTTTTGAGTGCTCTTTGCGGTGGGTTTGTTTGGAGTCTTAGAAGTGGGATTCTTTGTTGCAGTCTTAGTGGGGACCTTAGAGCTGGGTCTCTTTTTTTACAGTCTTATCACTGGTTTTCTTTGCCGCCGCCTTTCTCGGGGTTTTCTCATTCTTCGTCACGTTTTTCTTGTCCGAGTTCTTTCTAGGCGCAGCCATCTTCAGCTCCTTGAAGAGCCTTAGGGAACCAGAGGCGCCGGCGCCCTTGGTCTGCTGCAGGGACCAGCCGGCGACACTCCTAAGCGCCTGCATCTGGATCACGCCGGCGGCCTTCTCGTCCCCGACCTGGAAGGAAGCGAGGATGAACTTGAGGATGGCTTGGCGGGAGGACCCGTTGCGCTCCTTGAGGGCCCTGAGGGCGGCGGCGACCATCTCGCTGTACTTAGGATGGGCACGCTTGGCCGAAGGACGGTTGAACATGAAATGAGGCCGCTGAGGGACAAGCTTTCCCGGTTCTCGAATATGCAGACGAACACACATTCACACACATATGTACATTTGTATCTGTGTGAGTTAAACTACATGCAATGTTATGAGATAGCATGATAGGACCTCATAGTTCAGTTTTAATAAGATATTAAAACATGAAAATTTATATAATTGACTATGAATGTTTATTTGACATCTATACATATAGGAGTTCTTAATCAGGTTTATTTTTTGATCATCTTCTTGTTTGTGGATTTTTCCGTTTTCTTAGCTGCAGTCTTCTTGGTCATTTTCTTGGTGGCTGGCTGCTTGAGCGCAGTTTTCTTCGTCGTCGGTTTGTTGGCTGTAGCTTTCTTTGTCGAAACCTTTGTGGTTTTCTTCAGTGATTCCTTCTTCACACTGGACTTCTTCGTCACGTCTTTTTTGGCTGTGGTCTTTTTGGCGGATATTTTCTTCGCTGAAGTCTTTTTGGCGGAGATTTTCTTCGTTGAAGTCTTTTTGGCGGAGATTTTCTTCGCTGAAGTCTTTTTGTCGGCTGGTTTCTTGACAGTGGTCTTCGCGACCGGTTTCTTCGCTTTGCTCCCGCCTTTACTTGCAGCGGGTTTCCTTCCCTCCGCCTTGCCTTCCACCTTGGCCAGCTTGAAAGAGCCAGAGGCCCCCGTCCCCTTCACCTGGACCAGAGACCCGCCGGCCACGCCCTTCTTCAGCGCCAGCCGGACATGAACGCCTGCTTTCTTCTCGTCCTCGACCCCGTAGAAGGTCAGGACGTACTTGAGGATCGCCTGACGGGAGGAACCACTCCGCTCCTTCAAGGCTGTGATGGCGGCGGCGACCATCTCGCTGTACTTGGGGCGTCCGGCTGCCCCTTCGGCTTTCTTGGCAGCACTCACGACCATTATGAAAGCGAGATTTAATGTTGTAATACACTCGAAGATGCTCTTAAGAAGGCGTTTGGTGAAGCCAAGGCCGAGGATGTGTTGTGATGAGCTTCGGGCCTGGGAACATATGTATAGGGCCGTGAGAGAGGGAATGAGGCTCCGCTACCTACCCTCGTGCCCTCTCGGGCTGCGTTCAAATCTACTTTTGGCAATTGTCTTTATTGAGCCTTTGTTATTATTATTCATGTTATCATTATTGTTATTAATATTATTATTGTTATTATTGTCATTAATATCATTATTGTCATTAATATCATTATTGTCATTAATATCATTATTGTCATTAATATCATTATCATTAATACCATTATTATCATTAATATCATTATCATTAATATCATTATCATTAATATCATTATCATTAATATAATTACTACCAATATAATTATTATTACTATTGTTATTATTATCACTATTATTATTACTATTGGTATTGTTATTGTTATTATTACTATTGTTATTGTTATTATTACTATTATTATCATTATACTTTCCATCATTATAATTGTCATCATTACTATTATCACTATTATTATCATTGTTATTATCTTTATTGCCATTAC